TTTCTACCCACTAATGCTGCCACAGCAGTGAAGAGTAAAAAAAAAAGAATCGTTAAATCTTGGAGCTAGGACCAGATCCAAGATACCTTCACAGGTGAAAAAATAAACAAAATAATCATCATATTTCAAAGGAGAGTTACACAGCTCAAGGCTGCTTTGAAAAGACAGAGACTTGCCATAAAAGAATCCATCATCAGATCATCTTCCTTTCCAGGCTTTAAAAGTTAAGCCAAGCGACCCAAGGTAGTAAGACCAATACAGGAGGCTGAGGCAGGAGGATCACAGGGAGTTCGAGGCCAGCTTGGACTACACAGTGAATTCAAGGCCAGCCTGAACTACAGAGAAACCCTGTCTCAAAAAAAAAAAGAAAGTGAGAAAGAGAGAGATAAGAAAAAGACCAAGAAATGCAATCCCTCACACAGAGAGAGGCAGATTTATGAAAAATATTTAACATAGTTGGGCATAACAGAGGACTAGTACAGAAACATGACATATGTATAACTGATCAACTGAGAGATGAACCTGAAGCTGTTGTGGGCTTTGCTTTCCTCCCCCTTTTTTAAGAAAAGGAGGGAGAGATGAGATTGAAAAAGAAAGAAATTAATTATTGACCTAATTTTTTTTTTTCTGGTACCAGGGATCGAACTCAAGACCTTGCACTTGCGGGGCAGGCGCAACACCACTGAGCTAAATCCCCGGGCCTAGAAATGAATTATTAACCTTCAAAATGTGGTCAAATTATTGCTATGACTTTTGAGGGTTTTAGAGCCATTTAAACTTAGAGGATTGCACTGGTCTTTCTAACTCCTGTTCCCCTTCATTGGCACTAAAACTCCACCACAAGTAGCAAAATTAAAGAAGAGAAAGATGTCACGAGCAAATCTCGAACGTCGGAGTAACACAAACGTACCAAGAGCACTTTGAACAATAGTTTTCTTGCTGGGCACATTCATTTGAAAGTGTTTTATTTTGGGGGTTTTTAAGCTTAATACCTACTACTTAGGAAAAGTAAAAGTATATAATTAATCATGATAATATGTGGAATACACTAGTTTCGGTTTTGTTTTTTTGATTGGGTTTTTTTGAGACAGGGTCTCACCATGTGGCCCAGGCGGCAGTGACCCTCCCAAGTGCTAGGAACACCGTACCCTACAGTATACTAGTTTAAAACCCTTACTCCCAAGACTTTAAGCAGACTAACTCCTTTTCTCTCCTCCTATAAAACAGATACTAGAATTGTACATTCTTCAGCTAAATTTGACTTCAAAATAAAATCCGTGTTAAGTGGAGAAGAGAGCCTAAAATTCCCAAAGAAAGGTGGAATTATTTTTACGAAGCTTGTACTTGTGCAGCCTATTGAGTGTGGAGCTACAGACAAGCCGCCCACTAAGAGAAACGCTCAGTCTTTCAGTCTGGCCCGTGAATGCCATGGTTTCTTGGGGTTTGTGCCGTAACCCTGCTATATCCCATTACTTTTATTTTTTCCATTTCAATATCCTATACATCTACTCGCCTCTCTCGGGCTCTCCTTTAGCACTATTATGTTTCACAGAAGGAAGCTTTTTCCATTGGTGCTGGCCTGCATTTCCAGCAGTGAGCGTAAATGACCAGTTCTAAAAGGGGCCACGAGGAAGAAGCCCTCCCTCTGTCGGTAACAGGAATCCCGGCTCCCTTGGCCGGGCCCGGCCCCCTGCGTGAGGCTGGCAGGTGGCTGCTGCCCAATCCGACACCGCAGAAATGCTCTGCTGTTTCTCTACCAGCGTAAGGATGGTGTAGGGTCCCTCGTGTGAATCACCTGTGCTTCAGTCCAGGTGTCGGGCATCTGGGGCTCATCTGGCAGTGACCACTATGACAAAGCAAGGGCGGCCTCTGGCTGCTTTCATCCTGAGCAGCAAAGAGCTCCGTGCAGACCAGGAAGCAGTGGAAACCATGACTCAAGACATCCAATGCCACAATGGGGCGTCATGTCCTGGAATCGAACTTGCTGACATCTGTTTCTGTTTTGTCTTCTAAGAGAAACATTGTCCTCCTTTGGTAACACTTTCAAGCTAAAAAGTAAAACAAGACTATGTAGCTACAGATACAGGTAGGGTTTTGTTTTCAAGTCCAGGAAGACAGACAATGGCTAAGCAGCTGGACTGAAAAACAGATGAAAAACAGACTTGGGGACACCTACGATTCTCCACTTCACCATCATTTCCTCTGGTGGCAAATAGGACATTGTAACAGCAGCTGTGGCATCCAATGCCTTAATTTACAGCAAGTCCACAACCATGACAAATAGCACTGAATTCTGAGCCAGCCAGAAGAAAAGGGGCCCAAGGCCCTGCGTATAGCAAGAACCGCAGGCCGGGCCGTTCGATGTTAGGCAGCACAACATGGAGAGAGAATTAGAGGAGCAGAAGAAAGGGAGGCACAGAACAGGAAGTGGCGAACATACATAGTATCTGTGTTTATCTAGAGGCCTTCCCAAATCATCTGCTAGAGATTTCTTGTCTACTTTCCAAATAAGCCCCAGAACACCAAAGTATAGTTTTAGACATGTTCTTACCCTCTGAAATTTACCAGACCCCTAAAACAGTATCACTCTGATAGGACTAAAGATGCAACTCCTAAAACGACTTTCAAACATTATCTGCATGTTACTCAGCCAGAGATAGTGAACTCTCAAGTTTGATGATTTCCAAATTTTTTGTACCCGCTTTTTGGAGGAAATACAGCTGCCACACAACACAAGCAAATGTGGCTGGTGTTTTCCAAGTTTTTAGCACTTTGAAACCTCCTGGCGTCAGCAGATATAAACGCACACTGCTGACCACCAGGAAGGGAACAGTATGGTGACATGGCTGACGGAGAGGGTTCGGGAAAACGGGGTGACATTAAGGGGGTAATGACTGGGGCCAGGATGTCAGGCAATTTCCAACAGCTCGCCAAACGGAAGTCTCCTCGTCCTATTTTCCTGTATGGTATCTTATTTCTGGCTCCTCATTTCCTCAGTGATCTGATAATTATGAAATGCTAAATAAAGTGTCATCTTTCTTGCAACAAATCAATGGACAGAAAGCTCCCATCAACAGTGGAGATGTTTTCTAAAGCCCTGCTGATCACTTCCCAAGTGACCTCCCCACAAACCACAGAGTGCTCTTCAGGAACAAGGAAGCTCCTCTCCGCCATGAGAAACGCGGTGTGTGTGTGTGTGTGTGTGTGTGTGTGTGTGCGTGCGTGCGCGCATTTCAAAACAGAATTTGCAAGTAATATGTAACTGTTAACGCCTGGCCATCACTTTGCCTTCTATCATCATTTAAGGTTGAAATTTAATCTTTTCCCCATGCTGATACAAAGATAGGAGAGAAGAGTTTCTCATTATATATTCATCCCTACAGATGTAGCAAAGCTGTTTTGGCATTCAGCGGCACCGATTTATACCAAAAGTGTCACCCTGCCCACCATTATACGCAGGGTCTCTCTCTCCCTGTAGTACAGTTTACAATAACCCCACCTTTATCCCTCACGCTGTCCTGGCAGAATCCTACAGTACAAAGGCAAAGTTAGGAAAGTAAAAAATTCTATGGGTTACAAACGCGGCCTCCACATACACAACTAAGCCTAAACCACCTGCTAAGGAAGCAACCTTATGCAGAAGTTTGTTTTCAACTTTCTTCCAGTTTACCAAAAACGAGATACTCTAACCCCCCTTTCACAAAAAGCTCCCCCCTTCTGTATTTCGTCTGTTTCAGTTCTGCCAGACAAGCTGGTCACTCCACAGTCCCCATGGCGAGGTCAAAGTGATGCTGAATCAGCCAGGAGCAAATATTGATTCAAATCCAGCAGGGCAGCTCATGAGGTTCTCTCCCATCCCTTAGGGGAACAGACTCACTGTGCCCTTCCGGAGGGTAAACTCCCCTGTGGCTCAGGAATTTCCACAAGGTTTTACAAGCAGAAGCTAAGAATGGTTGGTCACACAAATTAAACCCAGCCACAAGCATGCAGATGCTGAGGTGTCAGTTCGAGCTTTCAGAGCCCCCTCAGAAAGGGATCAAACTCAGCCTCGACTTTTGTTCAACTGCCACATTTCAAGCAAGAGGTAATCAGGGCATCAATGGTAAAGGGAGATTTTTATTTCTTCTCCCCTGAAGCTGGGGTGTACACCTATCAGACACTCACATTCAAAACTACACAAATCAGAGCCAGGTTAGAGCTTAATGCATGTGAAATTCCAACTCAGTCCAGGACTAAAACATTCCAACCTGGTCAAAGAATCAGTGGAAAAGTCTCCTTTGACTTTTCTATTAAAGAAGGAAATGTGGAAGTAAAATCAGTACAGAAACACAACTTGTTTCATCTGTACTCATTGGTGTTAGCTCAACTGGGTTTCGTGCTATTATCTGTTTGTTTCTACTTTGTAAGTTAAAAGCTTTTTTTTTTTTTGGTACCGGGGATTGAACTCAGGACCTTGTGCTTGCACGACAGGTGCCAGAACCACTGAGCTAAATCCCCAGCCCGGGTAAGTGAAAAGCTTTTGATGTCATGTATCCTGAGTACCAACTTTGAAGATAACAATACACCATGTATGAACTATTGTTATCTTCTTATTATTTTGTTATGAAATTTTATTTTTTCATAAAATAAAAAAGAAGAAAAAACCCAATGAAAATGATCTCACACTGTCTAACACCTTCCCACTAGGAATTTGGACAAACATAAATGTTTAGTTTCACTTTTTTGTTCTTGTTGTTATTAAATGTAAAAGTGTTCAATAAAGGCCAACACAGAATTCCAAAGCTAAAAGCAGAATACTAATCTCAAAATACATAATTTATCAAATATTTTTATTTTGGTAAACTGCACTTAACTAAATAGTGAGATTCCACCACATGTAAGGAAGGGGCTATGACAGGTGTACTTTACTTTGTTAATTTATACACTATTGAAGTCGATTTTATGGATTCTAAATTTTCTAACATTTCCGAAAAAGCACAGTGGGGCCCATCTGTACCAACCTAGTTCTGATCTGCTGGAAGCCCCGGAGAATATGGGCCCTGTGATCCCTCGCAGAAGTGCTGAGGTCCTCGTTCCGCAACCCTTCGGCCAAGAAATCTTCGGCGTCTAAAGGGAGAGGAAAGGCAGTCACCGGAAAAGAAGGCATCATACGAGAGAGAAGGGAAAACCTGCAGGATGAAGGAATTAACATTGTTGTTGAGAATGTACTTGACATCAGAACTGTACACAGGGTACCGTGCAAGTCAGGCAAGCACCACACCACTGAGCCACTGCCCCAGCCCTTTGGAAAGTTTTATTTAGAGACAGGTCTCATTAAGTTGCCCAGACTGGTCTTCAACTTGCAGTCCTCCTGCCTCAGCCTCCTGAACAGCTGGGATCACAGGTGTGTGCCACTGCACCTGGTTGAAGTGTATATTTAATAATAGTTAAGACGGCAAATTTTACGTCTTACACAATAATTAAAATTTTACATATGTCTATAAGTGACATGGTCTAATCATCCAAGACCTTGTGATGAATTTAGAAAACCAATGCACATATTAACAAGAAATAACTTTTTGAAACCATTTTAAAGAAACATTTACATATTAATGATCAAGGGTGGCAGAGGATGGGCTGTCAATTTCATAAAAATGAAAGTATTACAAATAAGTCACAGAAGGTCACAGACCAATAGAAGTGAGAGAAGAAACACCATAAAATAAATAAAATAAAAAATAGAGCTGAATTGCAAAACCAAGAAGCAAAGGGCAGGCGTTCCAAGAGGAACATTAATTAGTGGGCACATCATTGAAAATGACAATGATGCCACGTGGAGGAGCCCATGTGGGAAAGAAAAATGTGCTCAAGAGAAGGAAACCACGATTAATATGAGCAGACATTACAAAATAGGAGTATGGTAGAAATATATCATGTGAAACAAGTCACATTAGGGTAAAGAACAAAACTGGGGGTATACACATTTTCAAAGATAAAAATACATTGATAATGACTAGAGTTGCCAAAAATAGCTCCACACTTTCATCTGCGTGTTTATCATTCCAGAGAAGCATATAAATAATATGCTTAAAATTCTTGCCTTCAAAAATGTCCCTATAATATGAAACTTTATCATATATAGGATATGAATTAATACAGATGAGTTACCTACCCACATTTTTGTTTTACATTCACAACACCAAGCAAAAAAGTCCTAGATAACCATCGCTAGGATTTCTGATGAGGTACAAAGTCCTGGAAACTTAAATTTTCACAAAGAATTGGCATTAACATCTAAGCCCTGCATTCCATTGATCAGGGGCTTTTGAGTGCTAAAAACCAAGGAAATGGGAAGTTGAATTAAAAGTCAAAAAGAACTGGCATCTGAAATTAAATTAGTGCAATATATCATACTAATTGAAGAAAGGACAAAACCCACATGAGCATCTCAAGAGACACAGAAAAGGCATTCAACAAAATTCAACAGCCCTTCACGATAAAAACACAGCAACTAGAACCAGAAGGAAACTTCCTCAGCCTGATAAAAGCATCCACAAAACCCCACAGCTAGGTGCTAAGAACATAACTTAGTTGTAGCGTATATGCTTGGCACATGCAGGGCCCCGGGTTCAATCCCCAGCACCCCAACAAACACAACCCAGCTCACTCTGTACTGAAAGTGAGACTGAATGTTCTCCCCTTCTCCTAAGAGCAAGAGCAAGACAAAGATAGTTTCTCTCACCATTCACAACCAACATGGAGCTAGCGATGCTAGCTAGGGCAATTAGATAAGAAAATGAAGTTTTAAAAAAACCTAGATTGGAAAGAAAGAAAGAAAGCAACCTCTATTTGTAGGTAATATGATCTTGTGCATGGAAAACCCTAAGGAATCCACTAAAAACTATCAGAATGGATCCAGTTTGTAGGCTAACAATCAATGTGCAAGATCAGCTGTATTTCTATACAGTAGCAATGAAAAAAAATAAAACTCTATTTACTATTAAAAGTAATTCAATACCTAAAAATAAATGTGGGGTGGGGTCCAGCTCAGTAGCAGAACACATGCCCAGCATATATATACGAGGTCCTAGGTTCAATGCCCAGCATCCCCTCAATAATAAATTCAACAAGGAGCGAAAAGCTTAAATCTGATAACTATGAAATATCATTAAGGAAATTAGGGAAGACCTCAAATATGGACTGGGAGATTTATCATTATTAAAAACAGCACTCTTCCTCAAACTGATGTAAAGATTCAATACCCATCAAAACCTCAGCTGGGTTTTCTGCAGAAATTCACAAGCTGATCTTAAAATTCCTTCAGAAATTGATGGGACCCAGAAGAGCCAAAATAATTTTGAAAAAGAAAAATAAATTTGGAGGACTCTCACTTTCTGATTTTAAAACTTACCATCGAACTACGGGACTCAAGGCAATATACTACTAGCATGAAGACAGACACACCAACCAAAGGAAGAGGACTAATGGTCCAGAAATTAACTCTCACATTTATGCCCAATTTTTGACGAGAGTGCCGAGACAACTCAATGGAGAAATAGTTGTTTTCAACAAATGGTCTTTGGACAACTGAATAACTACAGGCAGAAGAATGAATTGGATTCATATCTCTCATATTACACAAACATTAACCCAGCATGGATCACAGACCCAAATGTAAGAGCTGAAGTTATAAGATTCTCAGAAAATAAAACAGGCCTGAGTCTTCATGAACTTGGGCTGAGCAATAATGCAACATCAGAAGAAACCACAACAAAAAAGAAAATACATAAATTGGACATCATCAAAATGAAAACCTCTTGGGCTTCAAAGAATGCCATTAAAGTGGAAAGATAAACCACAGAGTGGAGAGTTTGTAAATCACACAGGTGATAAGGGATTTGTAGGTAGATATAGAAAGAATTTTCATGAGTCAACAGTGAGATAATAATCCAATTAAAAAAGGAGCAAAAGGGGCCAAGGATTTAGCTCAGTGGTACCATGCCTGCCTCACAAGTGCAAGGTCCTGAGTTCAATCCCCAGTACCAAAAAAAAAAAAAAAAAAAAGGAGCAAAGGCACTGAATAGACATTTCCTAAAGAAGATACACAAATAAACCCATGAAATAAATCCATGAAAATACACTCCACAGCACTTAACCTGGGGAAATGCAAACCAAAGCACAATGACCCACCCACTATTTCACACCCACCAGGATGGCTACGGGCAGAAAGACTGTGGGAATTAAAGACTGCCTTTAACTGCGATTTTCAAAGCAGGAACATTATTCCAAACAGAATTGAAGGGGTTTTTTTTTGTGGTACTGAGGATCAAACTTGGGACCTTGCACTTGCGAGGCAGATGGCGGAACCACTGAGCTAAATCCCCAGCTGAAGGTTCTTAAATGATTTTAAAAAGACACACGGCATCAAAATGGAACTAATAAGATTATGTTGCTGATGACAATATTGTGAAGTTAAACTTTTATATCAAAAGCAAAGATTTTCGTACCACTTCAAAAAATAAAGTGGGTCTAATAGCCATCTAAAAGATACAAAATAAAACAAATTAAAAGAGAAATTGTTGGGGCCAGGGATTTAGCTCAGTGGTGCTGCCACCTGCCTCACAAGCACAAGGTCCCGAGTTTGATCCCTGCTATCAAAAAATAAAAATAAAAAATAAAAAAGAGATGGTAAAACTTCATAGCTTAATTCTTTTAAAAGCGCGAATGACAATGATTTATATGAAAGTAGAATTCAAACCAGACATGGTGGCCCACACTTGTAATCCTAGCACTCTGGAGGCTGAGGCAGGAGGATCACCATGAGTTTGAGGCCAACCTGGGCTACATAGCAAGACATCTCAAAAAAAAAAAAAAAGTAGAACTCAAGGAACAATTGAAAATAACCAAAGAGAATCATTTTTTTGTTTGTTTTTTGGGGCTTTTTTGGTACCGGGGATCGAACTTGGGACTTTGCACTTGTGAGGCAGGTGGCGGAACCACTGAGTTAAATCCCTGGCCTGAGAATCATTTTTTGATACAAAGTATAAAGTTCAATGGGCATAACCTATGTGCTAAATAGCACAGTAACAAAAAACATACACTGAAAATTGTGAGAAACATAAGCAGAAATTAGTAAAAAAAATATTGAAATACCACTACTAGTTTTTGACAAACCAAGTGGACAAAAATAAATACTGTAATATCAGATATATGCTGTCCATAGAAATACAAGGTACACATGAAAATTTTAAATTCTCATTTAATATATGAAACAAATTAGAACAAAAGATATATGAAATTAATTTTAGTGACATTTCTTTATTTAATCCAATGGATCCAAAATATTGTCATTTCAATATGTAATCAATATGGAAAAATACTATTGAGATAGTTTCCTCTTTTGTATTGTCTTCAAAACTCAGTATGCCTTTTACACATTTTTCTTTTTCTTTTATGAGAAAATAAAACAAATTTTATAATCAAATGATGTATTATTATCTTTAATATAGCTACTCAGTGCAAGACATGAGCCAGTAAACAAAAAAAGGAAACAGGTAGTAACATAAACTTTATTTTCAGTGAACTAAACTATTAGTATAAAATATAAAAGAACAAATTAGCATATATGTATATATACACACATATATATTGAAATAGTTTTGTTTTTTTTTTTTGGTGCCAGGGCTCGAACTCAGGTTCTTGTGCTTGCAAGACAGGCGGCAGAACCGCTGAGCTAAATCCCTGGCCCTGAAATACTTTTAAAACAACTGAATATGGAATCTTGGGAAGTGTCCGAACTTCTCCCCACTTCCTATTTGTCTCTCTTCTATTTTGCCATTTTAAACTATGAAACATCTCAGTTAAGATTAATCCAAGTCAAGTGCTCAACAGCTACATGCAGAGAAGAGCAACTACATGGGGCAATCCAGATTTAGAGAATGCAGCATAATTAATTAGAAAGACCATACAGGTGAATCAGAATTTATGCCCTATTATCAAAACACTGTACAAACTGCCATGCAAAATGTATGAAGTACTAGATTACAATGAAACAACCATAATTTCTTAAAAACTCCAAATTACATCTTATTTTATGACCACAGTGAAATAAAACCAGGACTTATTAA